TTATACGTATGTATAAATATGCAGATGTATTTTTTTAAAATATAAAAATACAATAAAAATTGTACACAAGAACAATTTTGTGGTTTTTATTACACACATACTGAGTGTAAAAATATTTGTCATTTCTATTCTGCATATGCTAAGAAAAACATGAACTGAATAGTCAAACAATGAAAATTTAAAAGGCAAAGACCTAAAAACAATGTAATGCATTAAAAAAAAAATACTAATTGTCACAAAGCAAAGCGTTATAAATAGAAAAAACTGCAGAAAATATAATTACAAGTAAATAAACAATGAAAATTTTTGGCCTAAACTATGTGATTGAGAAAAATCAAAGTGAAACCTCACACTGGCAAAATTCAATAAGAAAATTATTTTAACAACATAAAAACGTTTAGGAAACAACACTTCACAAAGAACCAATGCATTTAACAAATAGCTGTTTGTTTCGTTTCTTCAAGGTTACATACAATTAATGCCAATGCAAATATGCATGCCGATGTACAAAGACCATTTTGATTTACATTAACAAAACAGTCTTGTCAAGCTGTGGGAACTACAGCAGCATAAAGTCTAGGCACCTGCCTACCAGCCTGAAAGTGAAGGATTCAAATCCACATTGAGGCAGGTTTATTCAAAACTGACCTGGCATCCAAATAGACTAAGCCTAAATGGGTACCAGGTAATGTCTGTGAAGTAAAGGAGCTGGGCCTGATGGTGACCACAGCACACACTGAGTGCGGGCAGGTCTATGAAAATGTATGGGCATTATTTGACTAAAATGCAACAAGCATGACAAGGAACTTGTTCGTGACTTTTACCAGGCGAGCTGTGGTGCCCTGGGAGTTGCTTGTCATAGCAGTGGTCTGTGTTCACTCATCCACAGAGGCACTACTTCTTCTTTGTTCACCAGCTGCAAGCTCAGGCAGAAAGTCCTGGTTGTTTGTCCATTTGAACTTTGGCTTTGTGCCAGGGCCTGAATTTTGCATACATCCGTTTTGCTGGCTTATTTATGTGCAGTTGGTTGTTCCTTGCCGCTCGAGCAGATGCACTCCCCCTTCAAAGGAAGTCCCCAGTTAGTCGACTCCTACGACATGCTTGTTAGGAAGACAGTGGGTTTATTCTTGTTTTTCCCACAATAAGGCCCCCGGGAATCAATAAAGGGATAATTTAGGGTTGACTGGCTTGTCAGAAAATGGAGCTAGCACCATATACCCAATATGCCTCAAAGCACAGGCATTTATTTATATGTATAATTCATTTTTTAAAGCAGTCACTCTACATCAACAGTTCTCAAACTGTGTGTTACTATCCCTTTGCGGGTCGAATGACCATCAGAAAAAAATATATTCACTAAAGTTATAGAGTAGCAACAAAAAATATTTGATGGATGGGGATCACCACAACATGAGGAACTGTTTTAAAGGGTTGTGGCATTAGCAAGGTTGAGATCTACTCCTCTACATAGATATACTGTATATTATTTGTAAACAGACAAATAAACCATATTTAAGACATAAAACAATACACAGACTCATGAACACTAATGCAGATACAAATATGACCAGATATACTTTGTTGCTAAAGCAAAACATCAACACCAAACAAAAGCAACAATTCATCTACACATTCTACTATAAATTTTGAAAGTAAGTCAACAAGAAAAATGCTGCAACTTAAAAACAAAATGTCAGTAGATTCAATTCTTCTAAAGTTCTGTCCAGTCAGGATCATAAGATAAGAAAAGACCTATTGCCTCACAAACAAGCATCTCATACAAGGTGATTAATTACAGGTGTTTCTCTCAAAGTCAGAGGTCAGGAATCAACAGTCTGCATAAAAAAAGCCAGATCTGTAAAACTGATATGCTAGCAAAACTCAAGTTTTGAGACAAGACAAATGTGGAGAAGTAGATAAACAGCCAGAACTTTACAACAGAGTTTACAGCTATGAAGACAGAAGAATCTGAGTCTTCCGTTTAAGATTCCAGCATTCTTAATTGTTCAGCCAGCAAATAAAACAGAAACATCCCCAACAAAATGGTTGAATTTATCATTAGAGGTGTGATGCTGACCACATCACCCATCTTGTGCCGATTGGTCTATAAAAATATAGGTCTAGCCCTAAATGCTTTATGCGCCTAAGGGTGCTTAATTTTTTTTTTTTTTTACTTATCATTAAAACTCACATGATGGTGTAATAATGAAAGATATGATCACAAGAGAAGGATAATGACTAAAGTGCCCTAGTGCCTTGGATACATTTAAGTGTACAGAGTCTTATTCACCAGATTGCAGTATCTAACATTTAGAATCTGAAGTATCACAGCATTTATTGTGATTTACATTCAAAATAAATTGCACAATTGTCATTGTATTCTGTTTGGTAATGAAAAATTTTATAAATAGATATCTTGAACTTAAATTCATCAAAAATGTTTGAATATATGTTTAAAACTATGAATTACAGAAACTATACTGATGAAATTTTCTAGAACTATATTCATGCTAAGTATTATATTGAATCAATCTGAACTAAATATCACTGACACATATCTTTATCTAAGCAAGTGTATATATAACCATCCTGTTTTGTACTGCCAAAGAATTATGTGAAAAAAGAAAGAGAGAAATCAGATGGAATTATAACAAATGTTCGCCTTGGTGGTTTAAAGAAGTGGGCAGTTAAGAAGAAAAAAAAAACAAACATATAAACAGTGGAAAAAAATTGAAGAGAAAAGAGGATTATGTAAACTATAGAAGAGACACCAACCAGAGGATCGAGAAAGCAAAACAAGAATCCTGGGAACGTTTTGGAGAGTCATTAGCAGAAAGTGAGAAAACATCCAGCAGAACATTTGTCAAAGCAGTAAAAACTATGTGAAAAAAAGATGAGAGCTACAACCCAGCAGTAGTAATTAACGATAAAACAGGAACCAGAGATAGCTGAAAGATGGAGAGAATACTTCAATGAGCACTTTAACCCTTTAAGAGATTGCCAGGAAAGAATAACTAAAGACTACAAAGCAACAATGCTAGAACCTGAAATACTAATCTATGTCATAGTTAAAATCATTAACTCTTTGAGTCCCAAGGAACGCATCATACGTTCATAGGTTACTGCCTAGAAGCCCAATGAACGCATCATGCGCCGATTTTATGTCTCTTTTGACAACCCTTTGGGCCTGTGATGCTAAACCCTCTGGGACTCAAAGAGTTAAACAGTCACCTAAATATAAAACACCAGGAACTGACAGATAACTAACAGAAATAATCCAAGCAGCAGGTGAAAGCAGCATTAGATGGCTCCATAGAATATTCAATGCGGCACAACAAACTGCTTCCATTGACTGGCAACATGCAATAGTTGTACCATTGTGAAAAAAAAAAAAATTGGAAGCAAGTGAGAATGCAATCAATATTGAGGCATCTATCAAGTCATGTAAGGAAAATAAATGCCGAGATAAAAGAAACGAGGCTGCAACCAGTGATAGAACCACAGTTGACAGAAGAACAGATGGGTTTCAGAAGAAAGAGAAGCTGCACAGATGCAGTCTTCACATTTAAAATATTAATAGAAAAGAACATCGAATATGATCAGAACTGATCTGTAGCATTTGTAGACCAGGAGAAAGCTTTCGACATGGTTGATAGACAAACATTATGGAAAGTAATGGCTCGATATGGAGTAAGTGAACACCTCATTGAAGTTTGCAAAAGCTTATATGGAGACTGTAGAAGCATATTTAGAATAAATCAGGGAACATCCAAACCATTCATAGTAACATCTAGAGTAAGTCTGGGATGTGTCTTATTACCACCATATTGATCACCTACATTGACAGTATAAGCAAAGATGCCAAGCCAAGGAATGAAAATAATAGTTACATCAACGAATTACTCTTTGCTGATGACCCATTTTTGAGGAAAAAAAGAATAGACTCACTGACTCCAAACAAGCATGTCATACAAGGCAAATAATTATGAATGCTTCCTTTAAAACTAGAGTGCATCTGCCTGAAATGCAGGGAACCAATAGTGTGCATACAAATAAGCCAAATCTGTAAAGCGGATAGCATGCAAATCTTAAGATCTGGTACAAGACCAAAGTCAGGAAGTGAACAACCAGAACTTTCTGCTGGAGTTTACAGCTGGTAAACACTAAGAAGAAGAAGAAGAAGAAGAAGAAGAAGAAGAAGAAGAAGAAGAAGAAGAAGAAGATGAAGATGAAGAAGAAGAAGAAGAAGAAGAAGAAGAAGAAGAAGAAGAAGAAGAAGAAGAAGAAGAAGAAGAAGAAGAAGAAGAAGGGACTATTTTTCATTCTTTGAGAGGTGTACTGTATAAATGGTGCTAGCCCCATATTTTCTAGACCAATCGGCTCTTAGTAGGTGATGTGGTCAGTATCAAGCCACCCATCTCTACTTCTAAGAAAAATCTAGAGCACCAATTTGAGCCTGGGTCAACCAGAGAGCCCAAATCAATGGAAAGAAAAAACTTGGTGGCGATTCAAATCCATGACCATCAAGTAGATGGCCAGATATGTTAGCAATTTTGTTACCAAAGCATTCTACTTTAACTAATTATTAGAAGAAGATATCCTGAAATAATTTCCACAAGTAAATAACCAAAATTAAAAACCACACTAAAATGCTAACATAACTAAAATAAAAAAAAAAAAAACTGTTCAGGAACAGACATTGAAGAAGGTGCCATGATTTAAACATTACAGATACAATTTGGAAGTATACACTGAAAACAAATTATGAACTAAATATTTCAGGAAAAATATTCCTAAATTTAAGACTGGGTGAAAATATCAGGACATAAATGCAGAAAAAATTGAACTAGCAAGATTACTCATTAAAATGCAATACAGAATGATTACATAATACTACACAAAAGCTATAAAACAGTCAACAACATATGCGTGATACATCAAGTAAATAGGCTAGTGCTATATATATTTTAAAAAAAGATAAGCTATTGTGCTTCAGATACCTCTATCCCGTCTGCAACCCAAACTGTGCAGAATGGTGACCAGTCGCCCAGCTGTACATTTGCATTCAAATAAATGAAAAAAAAAAAAAAGTTTCATATGTTTTAATACACTGAAACTGTTCACAAAATGTTTGTTATAAAAATATAAAAAGATTAACTGACCCTGTGAATGAATTAATAAAGATTTCCAAAACTGAATTCAAAACATACACAAACATTTAAAAAAAAAAGCTATGAATTAGGAAGGTATACAACGTAACTATATCAAAATAAAATAAAAATTAAAATGCCCTAAATGGAAAACAAGCTGAGAAACGAAATAATTAGGTTTTTAAAAAAACGTGATGCACAAGAACTACTGATGTAATATTGCCTTAATGAAACAATATTACAATGCAACTCATTAAAATATTTTTTTTTTTAAAGCTGCAGTTTTACTAACCCATTTAAAATGTCAGAATTAAGTTTTATAATAATATATATTATTTACAATCACTGCAAATGACAAAATACTGTTTTCTATAATTTAACCCCATTCTAGAGTTGAAAGCAATAAGAGCACATACAATGATTCTTACCAGGACCATCAATTATTATGAAGGCCATTTTTTCTTTCACAAATTATACTCTTCTTCTTCTTCCTTGAGTTCATCACCTCTAAACTTCGGCAGAAAATACTGGTTGTTTGTCCGCTTATGGACTTTAATCTCATTCTAGAACCTGAGTTTGTGCACACATCCGTTTTACAGATCCTGCATATTTGTATGCAGACTCTTGGTTCCTTGCCTCTCAGGGAGATGCACTGCAACTTCAAAGGAAGCTCCCATATAATTAACTCTTACAACATGCTTGTCAGAGAGGCAGAGGGCCGATTCTTGTTTCCCCCACAATGGGAACCCAGAATACACCACACAGGGAAAAATATACTAAGATAATACATAGAAGTAAAGGAATTTTTTGAAAAGTATGAACAATTAGGTACATGAAACAAAGAATTATGAAAATTACTAGCTGTAAATACTTTCTTCTCATTAATAGCCCCAAATACCGACAATCTGGTTCTTATGAAAACACTTGTAATCTCCTAACCTAATGTTTATCAATTAACTCTTTAAACCATTAGAGGTTTTTAATGTTAAAATGAATATGCTCAAGATAAGAAGAGGAGAAAATAAGATCAACATAGGCTACACAACTAGAAAAAAAACCTCAATATGCTACATCTAACTCCTCTCTGTGATGGTTTTTTGAATAAGCAGTAGGGCAAAGGAAAGAAGGAAGAAGACACACAGTGCTATTATTTTAAAACATTAACAGGATACAACAGATGGAGTTGGTAATTTTTGTTCATGGGAAATAACAAACTACAGAACAACAATAGAAAAATATTGCTATTAGAGAAACATGATTAGCACTGACCTGGTGAGAGTCGAGGCCTTGTAGGCTGTATTGTGACTGTGGGTATTTGAATGGCTGGAGGGTAGCTGATTGCTCTGTCTGGCACAGCTGGAGGAGCTAAACCCTAAACATAACGTTGAAAGCATGGCAAATGTTCAATGTCGGCACAAATGGAGCATGATTATAGTTAGAACTAAAAGATAGGGAAACATTTTAAAAAACATGATAGTAAAACTATAAAAACTTGTTAACACGACCTCATTTAAGAGAAGTACTGAAGCATTTGTTTAACATGGACCTCACTTAATAGGGACATTGGAGCATTTGGTTAACATGACTTCACTTAATAGGGGCATTGGAGCATTTGGTTAACATGATCTCACTTAAGAGGAGTACTGAAGCATTTGGTTAACATGACCTTACTTAAGAGGAGTACTGAAGCATTTGGTTAACATCACCTTACTTAAGAGGAGTATTAAAGCATTTGGTTAACACGACCTCACTTAATAGGGGCATTGGAGCATTTGGTTAACATGACCTAACTTAATAGGGGCATTGGAGCATTTGGTTAACATGACCTCACTTAAGAGAGGCATTAGCGCATTTGGTTAACATGACCTCACTTAAGAGGGGCATTGGAGCATTTGGTTAACATGACCTCACTTAAGAGGGGCTTTAGAGTATTTGGTTAACATGACCACACTTAAGAGGGGCATTGGAGCATTTGGTTAACATGACCTCACTTAAGAGGGGCATTGGAGCATTTGGTTAACATGACCTCACTTAAGAGGGGCTTTGGAGTATTTGGTTAACATGACCGCACTTAAGAAGAGCATTGGAACATTTGGTTAATATGACGTCACTTAAGAGAGGCACTTTAGCATTTGGTTAACATGACTTCACTTAAGAGAGGCACTGGAGCCTTTGGTTAACATGACCTCACTTAAGAGGGGCATTGGAGCATTTGGTTTACATGACCCCACTTAAGAGAGACACTGAAGCATTTGGTTAACATGACCTCACTTAAGAGGGGCATTGGAACATAAGGTTAACATGACCTCACTTAAGAGAGGTACTGAAGTATTTGGTTAACATGACCTCACTTAAGAGGAGTATTGAAGCATTTGGTTAACATGACCTCACTTAAGAGGAGCACTAGAGTATTTGGTTAACATGCTCACTTAAGAGGGGCATTGGAGTATTCGGTTAACATGACCTTAAGAGGAGCACTGGAGCAATTGGTTAACATGACCTCATTTAAGAGGAGCACTAAAGCATTTGGTTAATTAACCTCACTTAAGAGGGGAACTGGAGCATTTGGTTAACATGACTTCACTTAAGAGGGGAACTGGAGCATTTGGTTAACATGACTTCACTTAAGAGGAGCACTGGAGTATTTGGTTAACATAAACAAAATGCTGGTCCTCTACAGGGATGTATTATTATTTGTCACCAGTTAGAACAATGTGTTTTAAAAATAAAAAATAAACATTGATGTTTTTGTTTCATCTCTTGGAATTTGCTAAACTTTTTCTTCTTTGTTCACCTGCTGCAAGCTATGGTGGAAAAGCCTAGTTGTTTGTCCACTTGGACGTTGGCTTTGTGCCAGGGCCTGAGTTTTGTGTGTACATCTATTTTACTGGCTTATTTGTGTGCAGTTGGTTGTTCATGTCTGCCTGGGCACTCCAGCTTTGAAGGCTGTCCCCAGTTTGTTGACTTCTATGACATGCTTGTAGCGGGGGCAGTGGGTCTATTCTTGTTTTCTTCACAATGGGGCACGAGAACCTACACGGCGAGGAATTCGTGCTAATGAGGTTTTGATGTATTTTAACTTTTAGCATGAAGAACGGCACATCTGGTGGTAAAAGTGAATAATCAGCATTCACTGAAAGAAAGATTAATTCTTTCAGTGCCAAGCAGTAAAAAAAAACCCTCAAATCCCAGAAGGCGCAACCAGTGACGAGTGGGAAGCTCAACATACGAATGTGAGGTTAAGCACTTATGTGCAGAATGTGACAATTCCTTGGGTGAACCCAGGACCAGAGCATCCTGTGTCGGCAGGGAATGCCCACAATCTGTCCCTGTCACATTATGTCCCAGGAAACCAAACTAAAAGATTAACCCTGTGAAAATGTGCAAAATAAAGCTGGATGTGTTGGTGGAAAGGTGCAAATATCACAGCTTCGCTGTAAACAGCACTCAGACAAATGAAATAAAGAAGAAAAAGATATTCCAAAGAGTTGAGCTTCAAAGCTTTGTAGTCGTAATTGTAGTCAAGGTTTCCAAAAAAACAAATGAAATGTCCCTCACTGTCCTTTTTGAAAAATTTATGAACAAATAATTAGTCCTGGCACAGTGCAGAAATATGCACACACAATAAATGCCTGTGGAAATTACTAGAGATGCCAAAGCCAATAGTCACCACCAGAAATGCAGTTTGTCATTTATGGAAGTAGTTGGACACGATAAGTTGGCTATACACATATAAACTAGCTACCGACCACACTGAATACCGTGACTCAACGGCTGCAAAAATGAAAGGCATTCCACATGAAAAACACAGCTCACAGTGTGGCACTGTGCATACGCAGAAACTGCATTAGCAAAGGGCTGTCAATAGCAAAAACAACTTCAAAGCTAAACATTCTGTCATGCCTAGTCCTCCATTTTTGACTGAAAAAATCAGGTCTGAGGGAGTTCAACAGACACTATGGCGGTAGAAGTGGTTCAACTAATAATTCAGACACACAGGATATGATATATGTCTGTGATAATAGACACACAAAAAAACACCATATTATCCTAGGAATGTCCAAGAATTGTAAGATGAGTTTTTTGGGAACTGAAAGAGTTAATAGATTTCACAGAATGTTGGTTTAAAAATAGTAGCTTCAACCCTTTTGCCCCAGTGACCTAGAAAAAAAAAGCCAAGCTCCAGAACAGTCACAGCTGTCATCACCTTCGGCTGTGATGATCATGTATCCATAGAACACAGCTGAACACTATCATCTGAAAGACGGAGAGGTGTCAATAATTGTTAAGAAGACAAACCTGGTTATTGTGTTGGCCAGGTACCCTCAGTGGCTGGCCAGGTCTTCTCATCAGAGGGTTTTCATCGCTGCTCTGCTTTCCAATGCAGCCTAACCTGAGAGAAGCTCCCTTTTTGCTTAGTTTGCGAACTGGTGGAGTTGGTGGGGTGTGCTCCCTTTCAAAGTCGCTGTCTTCTTGAGGGAGGCTGAACAAATAACAAGGAATGTCTGGTTTTAGAGGAATATCCAATTCTAGTGTGTGGTGATAGAAAACTATAGTCATCAGTATGACAAACACACACACACACACACACATACACCCACACACATGCATACACACACACACACACACTGCCCGTTCAAGTATATCTTTCCCATGTCACAGAGTTAAGTTGATTTAACAGCTGGCATCACATAGCTCAGAACATACCCACAAGCACTCTGTCCCCATCTTCAGCAGTTAGATCAGAGTTTGAGTTTTGATGGCACTTTTTCATGCCATTGACTTAGAGGACTAATGGTGCAAGACACATATTTTTGAAGACATCCAGCACTTGATAAAGTGGTGAGGCTTACATTATACATGTCAACTTTACTTCCCATGAACTTTTCTGATACTATTTTAGGATAGTTTGATCTACAGTGATGATTTATTTTTAGTTGAAGTTTGTTTGAAGTCTGACGGATTATTTATTTAACATTATCATCAATGAATGGCAAACAGCAGACTCCACAGCTATTTGTCCAATAAATTCAAGATTGCAGACTCAGAAACACTCGTGTGCACATCATGATGTGCCCTGCCAACAGGTATAAGCGCTCATGCGCCTCCACAGATCACGATCCCTGTTTGCCTTGAACAGCTCTCCTGATGATATCTCTCAATGCATCGTTTCAGCCCATCCAGCATCGTCTCTTTTGGTCTGCTTCTTCCCCCTTTTCCACTGAACTTTCCAGTTGTCACGATGTTCTCCAATGTCTCTCTTCTCATTATGTGGCCAAAGAACAGGGTTTGTCTCTTTCTTATTGTTGTATATAGAGATTTACTTTCATTAGCTTCTTTCAAGCAATCGTTGTTAGTTACTCTGGCTGTCCAAGGTATTCGTAACATTCGTCTCAGAAACCACATTTCTGTTGCTTCCAGATTCTTCTTAATGTGTTCACTGACATTCCAAGATTTCATGTGTACAGGCACCATAAAATACAGAACATGTGCTGCACGCATGTTCTCCGTATGTGCTCTCCTATTTTGTGTAATTTGTGTTTTGTTTCATGTCACTGTTCTTTGTATGTCTATTGTCAATAAACCTGTAAAGCTGACATATACTTTATGTTTTTTTTTAAAGTAATTTCTAAATCTTCTTCAACATGCAGTAGAAACATCCCAGGATTGGTCAGGTGGCATTCTGGTGGAAGCCAAGTTATATGGATCAGCACAGAGCAACAACTTTCATAAAGGCAGGTGATCTTCTCATCCAAAAACATCATAGCATTAAGGACACACACCTGTTTCACTCAGCAAATCGACAGTAGGAATGCCCTATGTAGCCAAACAAGGGCACAGACACTGTGCAACAGATGTGAGTATAAATAACATACAAGTGATCAGAAATAATTCAAACACATAAATAACATACAAGAGTACAGACAATACACCAAAGTATAGACATATGCAAGAGTACAGACAACATACATGACTGTAGAAACACCCAATATGTCAGAGCACTGCCAAACATACAAAAGTATAGAAACATACAATATATCAGAGTATGTATAATATACAAAAGTATAGCCGACAAAGAGAGAGCAGGACTAAGAGTTGGAGGATACAAAATAAACAGTTTGCGTTATGCAGACGATTCAGTTTTGCTAACTAAAAACAACTAATTTACAACCACTGCTGGATATTGTGGAGATGGAGTGTGCTAAAAAGGACTTTCCTAGAATATTAAGAATAAGGAAGCAATAGTTATATCAAAAAAGATGATAACACCAAACTGTGATATCTCAATTGAAGGAAAAAAAAGCTATTCCAAGCAACCAGAAATCAGGATCTGTGGAGATGCATGAGCACCTATGCCAGTTAGCATGGCACATGATGATGCTGATGAAAGCTGTCATATAGTGTATATGAGTACAGGCAACACACTGCATAGACAACATACAAGGATATAGATAATTTACAATAGTATATACAACATATACAAATATACAGACAAAACATAAGAGTACAGATTACATACAAAAGAAGAGAAAACACACAATAGCATGGACAACACTCAAGAATATAACAACATATATGATATACAATAGTATACACAACATATAAATGTATAGATAAACACAAGAATATAGACAAAACATAAGAGTATACATTACACACAACAGAATAGAAAACATACAATTGTACAGACAGTATAGACGAGTAAAGACAACACCCAAGAATAAATACAATGTACAAGAATATAGATAAAATAAAAGATTACAGAAACCATTTAAGAATATAGACAACAAGCAACAGTATTGTGAACCCGTAAGAGTACAGACAACCCACAAGAGTACAGACAACAAAAACACTATGTATAACATACAAGAGTATAGATAACATAGAATACTATATAATATTATAGATAAAATACAAGTTTAAAGACAACACAGGATACTATAGAATATTATACATAACATACAAGAATATAGATAACATAGGATACTCTAGAATATTATAGATAAAATACAAGAGTACAGAAAACATAGAATTCAATAGAATATTATAGATAACATACAAGAATATAGATAACATAGGATACAGTAGAATATTATAGATAAAACACAAGAGTATAGATAACATAAAATAGAATAAGATAAAACACAAGAGTATAGATAACATAAAATAGAATAGAGTATTATAGATAACATACAAGAATATAGATAACATAGAATGCTATAAATAACTACAAGAATATAGTCAGCTCACAAAACACTTACTCTCTATAGACATATATTCCATGTTTTTTAATATTTGGACTAGTGCCAGGGTTGTTTGGAATGCTAAAATGACCAGGTTGGCCATCATTTGGTTTTGACATAAGGGAATTAGGTGTAAGAGAATTTAGCAAATCCTCTCCTTTGGTTTGTTCTATTTTTTTCTCCTCCTCTTCTTCTTCTTCGTCTTCTTCTTCCTGCTCATCCTCATTTTTATCATCTTCCTTTGAATCTTCATTTTCAGGCTCCTCAGCATCATGGAAACTAGGCTCATCTGGTTCAATTTTTATTTGGGTGTCACTGAAAGTAATGAATAACACACAAAGTCATGTCTTGTTAAATAAATGCCATTTATAAATGAATAACATACAGTCATGTCTTGTTTAAAAAATGCTATTTATAAATGAATAACATACAAAGTCATGTCTTGTTTAAAAAATGCTATTTATAAATGAATAACATACAAAGTCATGTCTTGTTTAACAGATGCCAGATGCTGCCCTCTGAGGCTTAGGTGCTGCGAGCGAGCTTTGTAATGCCGGGATGTTAGGTTCGATCCCAGCTGCGGGCCTTGCGCTGGTTTCAACAGGGGTACCGAGTAGCTGACCGTCCAGCAAGCAATGACAAACTACTGGACGTAAATTTGCCCAGAAAAACCACAACAGCCACACACACACACACACAAAAGCTGGGGTTGGTTCTGCAACTTCCTGTAAAGGATATGCAACTAACTTTTACAGAGGCTAAGTAGAGGCCTTTAGCCATGTAAGAAAATTCTCATTAAAATTATCTGTTCAAACATTTCATATTATTTCAGTTGCGTTATTATATTTATTTGTCAGCATCTGTGGCTTAGAGGATGCCATTGTGCTTCTTAATGCTGGAGTGCTGGGTTTGATCCCACCTGAGGATGATTTATCTTGCATTGGTTGAATGTTGAATTAAGAATTGACATCCTAGCACTTGAGACAAACCTATAAGCACTCCATCCCCATATTCAGCATCAAACGAAGAGTTCCAATTTCCATGGCACCTGCCTAATTGTGTATCCATCTTGCCCTTCAAGCTTGTCATACATCTTGCATTGGTTTTGGCAAAATAACCCAATAGCTGACCTTCAGAAAGCAATAGCAAACTACTGACCCCAAAATTTGCCTAAGAAAACCACAACAGCCCAGAAAAAGACTGGGATCAGTTCTGCAAGGATCTGTAAAGGATACACAACTAATTTTTATTGTATTTATTTATCATTCAGCACAATGCTGTTACTATGCTCTTAGACTTAGAATAGGCCCCTTAAGGCCTCCCACCTTTTTGTGGTTGTCTAAAAATTACCCCAGCTGGAGGGGACTGGGAGGGCGATGGCTGAGCCTCACCAACGGTTTCTGTAAGAGGTAACTAAGAAAATATTTCATGGTGGTCTCCGTAACAAAGAAGCCAAGCCATTTGCTCTAAAGACTGTGGGTTTATTTCACTGATGTGTCGTTCAGTTCCCAAGTGCAATTTTCATGGAAATTCCTGGAGTGTGTTGCTAGAGCTATGAAGTTTGTGTTTTGTACAACACTCTCAGCAGATGGCTATCTTTTCTGTGGTGAGAGACTAAGAAATATGGGGTAACACATGGTTTAACTTTTAACTTTATGGAAGATTAGCATTAGAATTTCTGTCAAAACTTAAAGCAGCAAAATTCAACTAATCATTATTCAGTGTCTACAAAGAGTTTGTGTCAGGTAAGGGCCTATGCTCCAAGGTGAGGGCCTATGCTCCAAGGTGAGGGCCTATGCTCCAGGCTGAAGGCCTATGCTCCAGGGTGAGGGCATTTGCTCCAGGAAAAGGGCCTATGCTCCAGGGTGAGGGCCTATGCTCCAGGGTGAGGGCATTTGCTCCAGGAAAAGGGCCTATGCTCCAGGGTGAGGGCCTATGCTCCAGGGAAAGGGCCTATGCTCCAGGGTGAAGGCCTATGCTCCAGGGAAAGGGCCTATGCTCCAGGGTGAGGGCCTATGCTCCAGGGAAAGGGCCTATGCTCCAGCTTGAGGGCCTATGCTCCAGGGAAAGGGCCTATGCTCCAGGGTGAGGGCCTATGCTCCAGGGAAAGGGCCTATGCTCCAGGGAAAGGGCCTATGCTCCAGGGTGAGGGCCTATGCTCCAGGGTGAGGGCCTATGCTCCAGGGTGAGGGCCTATGCTCCAGGGTGAGGGCCTATGCTCCAGGGAAAGGGCCTATGCTCCAGGGTGAGAGCCTATGCTCCAGGGAAAGGGCCTATGCTCCAGGGTGAGGGCCTATGCTCCAGGGCGAGGGCCTATGCTCCAAGGTGAGGGCCTATGCTCCAGGGTGGGGGCCTATGCTCCAAGGAAAGGGCCTATGCTCCAGGGTGAGGGCCTATGCTCCAGGGAGAGGGCCTATGCTCCAAGGTGAGGGCCTATGCTCCAGGGAAAGGGCCTATGCTCCAGGGTGAGGGCCTATGCTCCAGGGAAAGGGCCTATGCTCCAGGGAAAGGGCCTATGCTCCAGGGAAAGGGCCTATGCTCCAGGGAAAGGGCCTATGCTCCAAGGTGAGGGCCTATGCTCCAGGGTGAGGGCCTATGCTCCAAGGTGAGGGCCTATGCTCCAAGGTGAGGGCCTATGCTCCAAGGTGAGGGCCTATGCTCCAAGGTGAGGGCCTATGCTCCAGGGTGAGAGCCTATGCTCCAGGGTGAGGGCCTATGCTCCAGGGAAAGGGCCTATGCTCCAGGGTGAGATCCTATGCTCCATAAAGTGATGGAAGGCAGATCACTGTGTAGGTATTTAGGCCTCGCATAGGAAGAAAACAACAGACCCACTGCCCCCTTAACAAGCATATCTTAAAAGATGACTAATTAGTGGGGCTTCCTTCCAAGTCAGAGTGCATCTGAGAGGCGAGGAACAAACAATCTGCACACAATAAAGCCAAGTGTGTAAAAGAGATGTGCATGCAAAACTTAAGTTCTGGAACAAGATTAAAATCCAGAAGTGGACAAACCACAAGAACTCCCTGTCGGTATTCACATGCCTTGAGCGCTAAGAAGAAAAAAAAAAGGCAGAAAATGAGAAGATGAAAAGATGCATCTCATCTCATCTCCTCTGGATCGTTTTGCACTGTGTAATTTCAAATGGAAGTATAATAATCTGCAAGAGAGTGCCTGTTTGTGTTCTTTGTATAAATGGGTTCCTGGGAGCTCTTTTATTTGCTCTGTTCAAAATTGTCTTTGTTGGCATTTCTTTTGATTTCCATTTGGTCTGTGAATCATAATTCAATGTGATTTACTGTTTGTTGATAGTGGTATTAAACAGCCAAACCATCTCACATCTTGCTTTCAAAAGAAATCTAGAACTGCTACTGTTTCCCAAATTCTTTCCTTTCTCTGAAGACATTACCAGCCACAAATGCTGGCTCATCAAATATGTGTCCCATAAAGGCATTAACTGTGGAGCAGGAGATAAAGAAGCTGTTACACAAATAAGGCTGTGGAATGCCCCACAAAGTCCTATGAAACCAACAGGGAGGGTTAACATGGTAAACAAATGGCTGAAGAAGTCAGAAGTACTGACCAAAGTGCACAAATATCATGGCTTTGCTGTAAACAGACACAACACAGCAATGACACAGGGCCAAACACAGAAGAAGACAAAAGAAGAAGAAGGAATACTGACCGTAAGAATCAACTCGTTTATTCACAGCTGATCATTACCTGGATTTTCTGGAGTGTCCATCCTTGTCTGGAGAGACTAACATTTGTAGTGTTGCTGTTAAATGGTTCATCAAACTGTGGTCCTGGCTGAGGTGATTACATGAAGATGCATTCCCAATATTTCCATTCATCTGTGGAAAAAATCAAACAGATTCAGTTATTATGTAAACAGATGCAGTTAGTATGTAAATGGATGCAGTTATTATGTAAACAGATTCAGTTATCATGTAAACAGATGCAGTTATTATGTAAACAGATGCAGTTATCATGTAAATGGATGCAGTTATCATGTAAACATATTCAGTTATCATGTAAACATATTCAGTTATCATGTAAACAGATTCAGTTATCATGTAAACAGATTCAGTTATCATGTAAACAGATTCAGTTATCATGTAAACAGATTCAGTTATCACGTAAACAGATTCAGTTATCATGTAAACAGATTCAGTTATTATGAAAACAGATGCAGTTATTATGTGAACAGATTCAGTTATCATGTAAACAGATTCAGTTATCATGTAAACAGATGCAGTTATTATGAAAACAGATGCTGTTATTACAAAAACATATGTAGCTACTCAGCAGAGTGAGAGACAGATGGACAGACAGATAGACAGACAGATAGACAGATAGACAGACAGATAGATAGACAGACAGATAGAGCAATACTAAATGACATCTAGCTCAGGTTAAAAAAAAACATGCACACAGGCACATACACACACGGAAGTACACACCCATGCATGGGCACACCCTCCTGCACGCGCACACACACACACACACACACACACACACACACACATATGCACACAACATATAACATCTTCCTCTCTACCTGCAAACCTTTCACTACCATAAAAAATTATTCTTACAATACATACTGGCAATAAAACAGATGCTAAAGACTTGTCACAGGCAAAGATGCCAGTAATAACGTACCCCCAACATCTTTGCTGCTGCAGTACTGACGGAAATGACTGGTGTCATGTCCGCTGTCTGGCTGGCTTTTGTTCCCTTGAGAGACTGTGTGCGATTCAGAAAAGGCAGAATGGGTCGAACACCCACCATGGCATTTACAACACTTCCAAACAAAGTGTGATTTCTCTGAAGACAGTTAAAGAGAGCATCAGAAGCGATATGAGCAATAATTAGTCTAATTGCCTGCAATAATAGTATGTCTAATTGCCTGCAATAATAGTATGAGTCTAATTGTCTGCAATAATAGCATGAGTCTAATTGTCTGCAATAATAGTATGAGTATAATTGTCTGCAATAATAGTATGAGTATAATTTCCTGCAATAATAGTATGAGTATAATTGTCTGCAAAAGTAGTATGAGTCTAATTGTCTGCAATAATAGTATGAGTATAATTGTCTGCAATAATAGTATGAGTATAATTGTCTGCAATAATAGTATGAGTATAATTGTCTGCAATAATAGTATGAGTATAATTTCCTGCAATAATAGTATGAGTATAATTGTCTGCAATAATAGTATGAGTCTAATTGTCTGCAATAATTGTATGAGTCTAATTGTCTGTGATCATTACATCTACTAGTTCAATTTTTATTGAGTCTGGGCATTTAAGTTCAGTTTGAAAGACATCTCTTCTTCTACACATAGAAACAAAAGAATATCAGTGAGATCAACATAAAATATAATTCTAATCTGTGTTCCTTATATCTGCTAGCCCAATTTATAGAAAATTCCTGTCTGGTTTGGTTTGATTTTAACCAGATTCTTTTTACTACAAAATGAAACTTCCTTAGGTATATGTGTGTACATTAGAACATCAGGAGTGAGATGGGAATGAAGTCAAATTATAATTCTATTATGGTTACATTTAAATAAAAATTTTTTTTTTAAAGTAATGAATCAAAACCATGAAACATGTATCAAGAGAATATAAGGATTACATTCACTCGTGTGTTTTTTCTATACACACATGTATTAATTTTTACAGAAGTGCTCAGAACATAAATGGTTTTGCTTGTTCTGCAATAAAACATTTCTACACAGTAACACTTCCATATTGTTAGTTAGTTAGTTAGTTAGGTTATCATCATTGTACTCTTGAAATGTCCAGGTGCTCAGATCCTCCCCTCAGTATGAACCCCAACGTCCGATGGCTAATGGCTAATAGGTAGCAGTTCTATGTTAATTAACAAGTCTTCTGGCGTTTCTGGTGTGCGTCTCGTTTTTTGCTATGCCGATCTTAATTCCCAAGTCTGGCATTCTGACAGGCATGTTATATATTTAGTTAACTATCCAATCATTAGATGGAGTGTAGTGACCTCATCTTTGGATTTTTAAAAATTGTGTTAAAAAAATCCACACTGTCAAAACCAGATAGCATCTGTCCCACTTGAGCTAAAGGGAGGTAACTGACTGACCGACTTTCAACCCCACCAGGACATCACACAAGCAATAAACACCCAGTGACACAAAGTGCCACCATGTGGGTGAAGATCACCTGTGGAGAGGTCCCGGAAACCGCGTTCAGCCTTTAGGCCATATTTATGGCCAGGCTATATTGTGGCCCCTGGCAAGAGCCAGAGTAGGGCTTCAAATTAAAAAAAATGCATCTTAAAAAAGACGAGAAGTGCTACATATTGTATACCTCTATAAAGGGAGGTAAGTGTATTTCTAAGCCACTACACTCACAGCACTTATTAACTTTTGGAGGACAAAGAGATAATATATGACTACTGACATATCCAAGCTTCCACCACAGGTAGTTGGTATCTGACAACTGATTTACCAAAGCTTTTACCATGGATAGTCAGCATCCGACAACTGATATATCCAAGCTTTTACCATGGATAGTCAGCATCCGACAACTGATATATCCAAGCTTTTAACATCGATAGTAAACATCTGAAAACTGATATATCCAAGCTTCTACCATAGATCGTCAGCATCCGACAACTGATATATCCAAGCTTATACCATGGATATTAATGCTCTGTGACTCAGTTACAATCACGAGATGGTTGTGCAGCTTGTTCTTAATCCAGCAAATACTGCATTGGCTGCCATTCTGAAACTAGATGTATCTTCTTGTTCTATTTGTGTGTTCACTGGTTGTACTACGGCAGAAATTTCTGATTGCTCATCCACCTCTGGACAATAGTTTTGTTCCAGAACCCAAGTGTTGCATGCATATCCAGTTTTTTTACATGTCTGACTTATTTGTATACAGACTGTTGGTGCCTTGTCTCTCAGGCAGACGCACTCTGACTTCAAAATAAGCCGCCAGTTAGTTTACTCTTAGGGCCTGCTTGTTGTGGAGGCAGTGGCTTTTCTTATCCCCCCCCCCCCTTTCCCCTTCCTCATAACAGGGCCAAGGAATACACATGGAAATGTTGTTTTATCATATGCTAAACTTCATTGCACTAAGCCACGTCCATTCATTTTTGCTATAAACCTTCATTGCACTAAGCCACGTCCATTTATTTTTGCTATTAACCTTCATTGCACTAAGCCACGTCCATTCATTTTTGCTATAAACCTTCATTGCACTAAGCCACGTCCATTTATTTTTGCTATTAACCTTCATTGCACTAAGCCACGTCCATTCATTTTTGCTATTAACCTTCATTGCACTAAGCCACGTCCATTCATTTTTGCTATAAACCTTCATTGCACTAAGCCACGTCCATTTATTTTTGCTATAAACCTTCATTTCACTAAGCCACGTCCATTCATTTTTGCTATTAACCTTCATTGCACTAAGCCACGTCCATTCATTTTTGCTATTAACCTTCATTGCACTAAGCCACGTCCATTCATTTTTGCTATTAACCTTCATTGCACTAAGCCACGTCCATTCATTTTTGCTATAAATGCTTCATTGCACTAAGCTACGTCCATTCATTTTTGCTATTAACCTTCATTGCACTAAGCCACGTCCATTCATTTTTGCTATTAACCTTCATTGCACTAAGCCACGTCCATTCATTTTTGCTATTAACCTTCATTGCACTAAGCCACGTCCATTCATTTTTGCTATAAACCTTCATTGCACTAAGCCACGTCCATTCATTTTTGCTATAAACCTTCATTGCACTAAGCCACGTCCATTTATTTTTGCTATAAACCTTCATTGCACTAAGCCACGTCCATTCATTTTTGCTATTAACCTTCATTGCACTAAGCCACGTCCATTCATTTTTGCTATTAACCTTCATTGCACTAAGCCACGTCCATTTATTTTTGCTATTAACCTTCATTGCACTAAGCCACGTCCATTCATTTTTGCTATTAACCTTCATTGCACTAAGCCAAGTCCATTCATTTTTGCTATAAACCTTCATTGCACTAAGCCACGTCCATTTATTTTTGCTATTAACCTTCATTGCACTAAGCCACGTCCATTCATTTTTGCTATTAACCTTCATTGCACTAAGCCAAGTCCATTCATTTTTGCTATAAACCTTCATTGCACTAAGCCACGTCCATTTATTTTTGCTATAAACCTTCATTGCACTAAGCCACGTCCATTCATTTTTGCTATTAACCTTCATTGCACTAAGCCACGTCCATTCATTTTTGCTATTAACCTTCATTGCACTAAGCCACGTCCATTTATTTTTGCTATTAACCTTCATTGCACTAAGCCACGTCCATTCATTTTTGCTATTAACCTTCATTGCACTAAGCCAAGTCCATTCATTTTTGCTATAAACCTTCATTGCACTAAGCCACGTCCATTTATTTTTGCTATTAACCTTCATTGCACTAAGCCACGTCCATTCATTTTTGCTATAAACCTTCATTGCACTAAGCCAAGTCCATTTATTTTTGCTATTAACCTTCATTGCACTAAGCCAAGTCCATTCATTTTTGCTATAAACCTTCATTGCACTTCTGCCTCTCAAGATAATCACATCTCCTTGGCGAGAACTGTCATATAAATAATGTGTTGAACCCTTGATTCTACAGTGCCTGCTAGCCAATCACTGCACTTATGTCCTTCTGTTGATCTACCTCTTACCAATATTTCACTGTTTAATAAGGTTAACAGATCTGATTCTACAGTGAGTAGAAATAAGTTAACTGACAACAAAACTTGGCGAAGACACCAGATAACTTACCCTGTGCATAGGCTCCTCTATATCTTTATCTAACATTTCATCTTCATCCAGGTTTCCAGAAATAGCTCGTCTGATTTCTGGGCCTAAGTCATGCACTGCTCGCAGGCCCGCCTGTTTGAAAGTCAATGACTAATTATGTAACCGCTGAATGGTCCTTATATCATACACAGGCCATATCACATAGGATAATGTTCAGTCTATCATCACTCAACACACTATTAACCTCTTTTAACAACAGTCAAAAGATGGAGAGTGCAATCCTTCACATCTGTAACAAGATCAACCAGCTTCTCAAAAACAGAACTACAGGGCTTTGTAGAGGGAATAGAGGGAAAGAGAAGAGCAGACTAAAAAAAAAAAGACCTGGATACAAGACATGACTGAAAGGAAGAGCAGCAAACATTAAATCCATTATATCTAAATGAGTTATGAGTTAGATTATCTTCACAGCACTTCGGACACATCCATAGGCGCTTAGATTCCCCTCTCAGCATATTCATCAGCAATGTGCAGTTAATAGTACCAGTCCTATGTTGGTTAACAAGACTTTGTGTGCGTCTGGTGTGCTTCTCATGCTTGGCTGTGCCGATCTTTATTCCCAGTTCACGAATTCTTAGCAGTGATGTGGACTCGTTGCTTCCAGAATCCTCAGAATGTCCTATCTCTCTAAGGGCAATGACAGTGTCTGCATGATCCATGGGCCGCCCATCTTTAATTAATGCAGCACTTGCCAGTCTATCAGCTCTCTCATTACCAACAACACCTGAACACCCTGGGACGAATATAAAGTTAATTGCACACACAGGAGAGTTTTGCAACGACTCAAACCACTATCTGCGTAACCAGCCTGCCTCGACCTGCCAGATCACGCTCAAGGAATCACTCAGCACACACATGCGGGAATAGTCCTGTGATCCCAGCAACATGAAAGCCTGCGTCACCGCCATTGTCAAGTTCAGGTAAATCAAAGGTTTTATAGGAATATTAAATTTTAATTTTAAAAAATTAAATAAAAAATTTAAAAATCTGTGTGCAAAACATATTCCATAAGCAGATGAACGGTTGTATAATGTGGCTGAAAAGGTTTATAGTACTGTACCTGCAAAGCATTGGTATGCTCCTGGCCCTTCTGAATTTTGACCATCTGTTCTTTGCGTTTCTTGAAACGGCGGAAATAATCCTGGATAAGAAATGTGGCATAAAATTTGCCAACGGTGACATCATCGTCTCCTGCAAAATTGATAAAATAATGTGTACTTTAGAACATTATCTAAGTGAACATGAAATAATGAAGAAAATCCTTTATGAAAAAATAGACAATGCAACAGAAGTTTCATAATGAAATAGACTTTTAAAATAACACATATTATAATGTTTGTGATTGACATCTTTTTTGAGTTATTGTTATATATACAAAATTAATACTGCTATAGATCCGTTTAAAAAAAATAATTATTGAAATTGTGAAAGTAAATTAAGTAAGTAAATTAAGCATGGCAGTGAAATCAGTTACAAGAAATGAAAAGAGTTGGTAAATTTTATTTCTACATTTTTAATGTGCAACCAATATTTAATAATATTATGTAGCAATGAACAATCTTACTCATTACTGATGAGAGTAAAATTATAAAATTTACCTATCAGAAAAGTGTAAATACAACAATATCAATATAATATTCATAAAAGTGTAAATACAACAATATCAATATAATATTCATAAAAGTGCAACATAACAATATCAATATAACATATAGTGGATAATTGTTTAATTAATAGAAAAGAAGAAAAAAAAAAAACACTGATAGAAAAGTAAAACAATGATATAATCATTTCTAAGAATCTATAATTGCTAACAATCTAATTGCCACCATGCTTACTCTTGAAGCTAGAATAAAAATAGCACCTATAGACTTTATTTACTATTCATTTTATTGTTGAGCAATTATATCAGTATAATAAACCTTAGCTGAGTAAAACTATGTACTAATTTGAACAAAGATGACACCAACAATAGATTGTATAATTTATTGCCCAACATATTTCACTCTATTTCGTCAAGTGCACAGAAGGCAACCATCAATTCCTGGGGACCATAGAGTTGTGGTTTTGAAACAGTGTCTGTTATGAGTCCAATGGAGGAGTGGCTGTCACTGCCACCTATTTTCCATAAAAACATTGATACTCTATTGTTCTGTCACTTTTTTTTTCTCAGAATCTAATTTTTTTTTTGCTGGCTGTATTTGATCTCGTCCAAACTGCAACAGTGCCTTCTTTCACTGTCTGCTTCCAGGGAAGTTGGTCTGCAGCGGATCTTTCCCAGGTGTCTGTGTTAATGTATACATCTTTCAGGTCACATCTGCATATGTCCTTATAGTGTAGCTTTGGCCTTCCTGCAAGTTGTGTCCCTGTCACCAGTTCACCACACAGGAGATCCTCCATGCAAGAGACATGTCCAAGCCAACACAGGCGTCTTGCTTTAGTAGACAGTATATTGTTGGCATTCCTGCTCTTTTAAGTAGACATTCATTGAGGACAAAGTCTGGCCACATATATCAAGAATGTGTCTCATACAGCACGTGCAGAATGTATTCAATCCTTTTTCTTGAGGAGCATATCGAGTCCAGGTTTCACTGCCGTAGAGGAGTGTGCTCAGGACGACTCTTTCATAAACTTTGGAAAGCACTGCAGAAGCCTTTCCAATTCCTCGGCTTAGTTTCACATCTAGGGAAAGATCTTCTGCAACTCATGTTGCTAATGCTTGGTGGGTTTACCACATTCATCCCCATCAGCTGCATTTTGTTGAGACTGTTCTACAGTAACAATTGAATAACTTGAAGCCAATAAGTGAATTCGTTACAAATGAAATAGAAAAATGCCAGGCAATAAATGTGCAGCCTACTGTTTGTGTCTTCTTCTTTTTACAACGGAGAAGACTGCTTTCAAAACAAAAAATTATTATGTATCTGAAAACTGGTATAAATGTTAACCAAATGTTTGCCTCAAACAATTAATTAAACATACTTTAATTTCAAGTACCAATTTAATAAGTATGGGATAACTATAAAAATGTGTATAATAATAAACATGTTAATTATTATTTAAAAAAAAAAAAAAAAAAAAACTATTAGTACAATCCAATGAAAATTGTTACAGTTTAGCAAAATATGTATTATAATTTAAATACAATGCTTATCTGTAAATTAAAACAACATGACAAAACTTGTGCAGGTGAAAAAAAGAATCTTTGAAGTAAATTATTTACTGTGAAAAGATGAACTTCTAGTATTGAAACAAAATTATTTGTCAATAAATTAAAATGTGCTAGAAATAAGTACAATCAATTCTGATTACAAAAATATCAGACAGGCAGCATAGCAGGTGTTTTCTACAACAAAATGCCTTTTTTTGTTTGTTTATCAACTAGAGAGATTGACAGCAGTGGGTACCAAATAAAAAAATAAATAAAAAAACAACAGAATGTGAAAAGAAACTAGGTCTTGATTTAATTATGAAGTCTTAGAGTCATAAAATAGAAATCATCAACTTTCACAACAGTAACAAGCTTGTTTTGTTGTTAAATGATTTTATGTTGTATCTATAATCATGTATTTGCTTTTTATTTACTGAAATAAAACAAGAAACAACTTAAAAAAAGAATCAAGTGAAGACTTAAAATCAAAAATGGAAATTAAAAGATTGTGAAACCAGGTAATGAGATAATTTGATGGATCTTTGTTGTGGAACCCACAAAATAACTGACATGGAGCACACAAGGAGGATAATTGCAAACAGAGATTATTATGGAAAATATGAAAAAAAAAGAACTACAAAGAAATAATACAGAGGAACTACATGGAAATGATATAAAACTAGAAGGAAAAGTCTTGAGAGAAATTACAGTGAAAAAAAAAAGATGTAAATGCAAGGGAGATAAGAGAGATCTGAGCAACAACTTGTATCAACAGTTAGAAGACAAAGAAGACTGCAATATATTGGACACACCCTGAGGAGAAGTAAATGCAGTATCAACAAACATGCATTTAAATGGCAAACTAATGGTTTGAGGAGATAAGGACTCACAGGAGGAGACCCAAAGATAAGAGAGGCCAAAGGTGGTGGGCGATTCGTTCTACGATATTAAAACAAGTGCACAGGATACAATGGAGTGGAAGAATAAATTGCAAGTTCCTATGTGATGTATAACAGCAAAACAGGGTAACAATGATGATAATGATGATAATGATGATAATGATGATAATGATGATAATGAATAATGAGCTACAATGAAAACACAACAAATAATACAATAGAGGGTTGGTGTGAGATCAGTGACTGAATACAATCTATGAGAAATTTAAAAACAAAGATAATTGATAAAACATTAAGAGGTTAGCAAAAGGGAAATAAAATTATGCCTATATTATTTTCACAAACTTTAAAACCTCTGTACATACAAGTATAAAAATATTAATGTTATCAGGATGTCAACTGAAATCACACAGCTAACAGTAGGAGTTTAACACACAGTCAAACAAATAAACAGAAGTAAATTCTAGAAAATGAAAGGAAAGAAAAATGTGGTTCTATCTTCTTCTGAAAGAAACAAGTGGGAGGAAATTCCTACATCTACATGGAATCAAAAATTTCAAACCACTTCAGGTTTAACAGTCTTAACCAACCTATGCAGAGGGAAACAAACAACATCAGTTAAAATATAGACCAACTTAGTTGAAATTCAACACTGTTTTATTGTGCCTTTATATTTTTTTGCTCAAAATTTTAAAAATTTATAACAGGCTTAAATCTTGCAACCCCAGTGGGGTTCAGTTAGTAAATATCCAAGGAAATGAATGGTCACTATAAAAAGTCATGAATGCTTAATATTCAAACAGGCAAATTAAGCAGCAGAAGTTGTCAATTTCAATGCCAGGTTTCTTTATGTGCTGTGGCTAATAGTAAAATGGAAAAGGGGGCGGGGAAGAGGAGGGATTGCTTTATGTGCTGTGGCTAATAGTAAAATGGAAAAGGGGGCGGGGAAGAGGAGGGATTGCTTTATGTGCTGTGGCTAATAGTAAAATGGAAAAGGGGACGGGGAAGAGGAGGGATTGCTTTATGTGCTGTGGCTAATAGTAAAATGGAAAAGGGGACGGGGAAGAGGAGGGATTGCTTTATGTGCTGTGGCTAATAGTAAAATGGAAAAGGGGGCGGGGAAGAGGAGGGATTGCTTTATGTGCTGTGGCTAAAAGTAAAATGGAAAAGGGGGCGGGGAAGAGGAGGGATTGCTTTATGTGCTGTGGCTAAAAGTAAAATGGGATGGTGGGAAAGGGGGGGGGGCACATTATGCAATGGGTGGGGTTCAAGTAGAAAGGTCTGTTACACATCAGACATTGCTTGGGACTGAAAGAGTTAAAGATCAAGATCATCATTTAGGTTGCTGACTCGGCTGGGTGACAAAGCTTCTCCACTCCACATCTTGTGATCACTAACATCAAGTGTCTATAAAATCCTAAGTCATGCTCTCTCTCTCTCTGACAGTATAAAGTAAAGGACTTGGTTTCAATGCATTGAGATGTAATGACCATTTGTTGCTTGATGGATAATATGGTCTATGTCATGTCAGCCATGTTTATTTCCCAGAACATTTCCTCGAATCCATCCCTCTGTCTGGGTCAACCTAGGACCAAGGTTATAAAGTAGGAATCAAAATAAAAAAAACTCTTTCAGTGCAAGTTCAGATCTATAGGCAAGCATGTTAGCCTTTCACTAACAAAACATGAACAAGATTATATGAAACAGAACTAAAATTCAGTCTACTTAAACAGAAATAACCAGCAAGTTAACACAAATGGCTGGAGTGCCAACAACAGTACTGTTATCTTGTTCTCATCATCATCATCATGATGCATGAGTAGCTAAATGTGGTCAAGGCACTTTAGGAGTGAGTGAAACATGTGGAAACACAAACAGGTCATCACTGTTGGCAGAGAAAAGTGAAATGAGGAGTGACCTGGGAATAAGGCTGACACTCCACACTCAGCTGCTAGTACAACTAGAATTTGGGCCAGCTGCTGCTGTGGCTAAGTTGATGCAAACGCTTCATAATGCCAGGATGCAGGGTTCAATCTCAGCTGCGGGCCATGTGCCTTGCTTTGATTTCGACAATGGTATCAAGAAAGCCAAATTATGAACTTTATTCCTAACCCTTAAGCCACAGATGCAGCATTCTGATAATTATTGAAAATCGTCAAGGCAGATATCCAATGGCAGCTTTTCTCACTACAAGATTCTGCTAATGTTGAAGTTAGTTGTGTAATCTTTACAAAACATTGCAGAACCAACCCCAGCATTTTTTGACTGTAGTGGTTATCTAGGCATATTTACATCCAGTAGTTTGCCACTGCTTTCTGGATGGTCAGCTTCTTGATACCACTGTTGAAACCAATGCAAGGTGCATGACCTGCACCTGAGATCAAACCCTGTACCCCGCCATTACAAAGCGTGCTCACAATGCCTAAGCCACAGATGCTGACTTCTGCTAATGACACACTACAAATGTTCTGTTCAGAAATTATGTTAGGATTTTGAACTCGAGATGAACCCACAGAGACATAAATAGGAGCCGAAATCTGGTCCACCAATCAATCAGTCAGGGCCATATCCGCAGTCAAGGCCAGCCCAACAGATATCTTTGTCCTGTCTCACCCTTATTGTACACTCTCTCATACTGGTGTTCATCCATCTTTTGAGGTGGGCCTCCCATTTGTATTGCTGTTTACCTATTGCTCACAAACTAAGTACAGTAAATAAAATAATGGTAATCTAAGTAGACAGCCACAAATATGCAAGAAAATATCATGAAATATTGAAAGCTACTTACTACCTGCTGGTGGTACCACTTGATCTAACAACTTAGGACTTGTCCTCTTCCAAATTCTTTTGATCACAGCTCTCAGTTCTTCATTGGCTGTGTCTATGTTGCCTTCAGTTTTAATTTTGAGCGAGGTGCGTACCAGAGCGAACAATGTTGCATTAAACATGACTGTGCCGTCACTGTTGAGGGGCATATTCATACTAACAAGCCGCTGTTAATGAAAAAGAACAAAATAATTACTAAAGAAATATAAAGCAGACAATTTCAAGTATTTAAACAATATTGAGTTTAACTAAATTACCCCAGAGAAGGCTAAATCTTGTCACTTCTAGTTGTGACACAGCCCCTTAAATACAAGTATGTTGTGATTTATACGGTGACCTGTTCGTGATAAGTGTACTTTAATGCTGCTGGCTTTATGTGCACCTGCATAGTGATTAGGAGGCCGAGATGTGAATATATTAACTAAATATAGCATTTATATGGGTTTTCTTGTAAATTCAATAGCTCTTGTGAAGTCAAGTTAATTTTAAATGTTCCCATAAGTATCAGTGATAAAGGTTATAGGGTCATGGCATAAGTCACCCAATATATTTTGTTTTAGGCAACAAGCAATGCATTATATTCAATGTGTCAATTCTATTCTTATTTACCGATCACTCACTTTATTTCTCTTTATATATTTTTTAATTAAAAAAGAGATAAATAAATTTTTAAACAATTCATTAGTTAACTGTGTAAAATAGTTCTTTTTTTAGTTTTTTTTTGGAGGGAAATTCCCCTGGGTTCATGACACATGTTTCTGCATTCACTGGAAAGGGTTAAAACATGCTATCCCAATCACCACAGCAATAAAAAAAAAAGTTAACAGAAATATATAAAAAAAACCCCAGCTTTTTGTTTTGTGTACTGCCAATCAGTTAATCTCTACCAGAAAATAAATCACTCTTTCTCTTCTGCTTCTCTTTCTCTTCTGCTTCTCTTCCTCTCCTGCTTCTCTTTCTCTTCTGCTTCTCTTTCTCTCCTGCTTCTCTTTCTCTTCTGCTTCTCTTTCTCTTCTGTAGTGACTACTTCTTATAGTCCAAGATTTGTGGCATTTGTCATCATATCCAGCCCAGCTTTTTGTTTTGTGTACTGCCAATCAGTTATTCTCTACAGCAGGATGTCAAACTAACAACTCTATTGGTCCTGCTGCTCTTCCTCTCCTGCTTCTCTTCCTCTCCATTTTGTTCCTTTCCCTGGTGTAGTCAAAGCATTAGCAGGGACAATCACACATACAAATATTACATAACACACACAAACATACATGCACATACGGAGGCATGCACAAACACTCACTTCAATGTGCGCACGCATGCACACCTGCACGCACGCACGCACACACACACACACACACACATGTATATAGAAGTGATAACTTTTTGCATACTATAGGGGAGAAAAAAGTCTTTACTCATACCGAATCAACATTAATCAAATTGACTTTTAAGGCCTTTTTTTCCCCAACTTTTTCTGGTTTTTGCTTACTTTATTAAAAGTAACACTATACCGTACAAGAATAAAAATTAAATAAGAATAAAGAACAAATGGAAATTTATTAATGTTTTCAACATGTAACAACAACACTAATTAATTAGGTGTGATTCCTTTAAAGTGAGAGTGCATCTGCTTTTGAGGTAAGAATCATCACTGCATACAAAAAAGGCCAAATATATAAAAAATGACTTGCACTAAAGTTCTGGCACAAGACCAAAGCCTAGAAATAAACAAACAAGCAGAATTTTCCACCAGAGTTCCACCCAGTAAATGCAAAGAAGAAGAAAAAAGAAGTCAAGAAAAGGAAGGTGGTTGATGTCCTATACTTTAGTGAAGCTTAAAGACTAAACACAAGAACACCTGCTGACAAAACCTGTGCTGGTTTACCTTACAGGCCACTCTGTGTGGACACAATTTTCCAAAGCCCAGGGGAGGAGAGATTTTCCTTAACAGAGTCACTACATCCAGATGCTTGATTCTGCCCCTACAAACATTGATCACACATTTAGCCTTCCAGTTGTATACAAAAAGAGTATGTTTCATTTTTACAGTCACATAAACAAGCACACATTTACTATAACTTATGGGGATGCTGATAGTTTTTACATTTGTTTTAAATATCAGAAAATAATTAAATACTCCCCTATGTGCCCCCCCCCCCTCCTTCCATAAAAAGTGAATTTGATAGCTTTATAAAGGTTGTACAATTTTCCTGTAAGCCTCAATTCTGGGTATTTGTCCATCTTTGAACTTTAGTCTTGTGCCAGAACCTGAGTGTTGCATGCACATCAGTTTGACACATCTGAATTATCTGTATGCAGATTGTTGGTTCCTTGTCTCTCAGGACGATGCACTCCGACTTTGAAGGAAGCCCCCCAATTAGTCTACCCTTACGACTTGCTTGTTGTGGAGGCAGTGGGTCTATTCTTGTTTCCCCCACAACGGGGCCCCACCCAGAACTTACACGGGGAGTAAGCCTCAGTGATAGAGGTCACATGGTCATGACATAAGACATTTGATATACATTGGATTTTAGCCCCATGAAATGTATTCCATTTGGTGCTTCATATCCATTGTTTACTACTCTCTTTATTTATCTCTATGTAATACATTTTTTCTTTAAATGTGGGTAAATAAATTTTAAAACAATTTATTAGTATTTTGTGTAAAATGAGATTGTTTTGTTAAGAATAATTTTGGAATTTAACTGCTCATCCAAAACTCTTCTTTATTCCCCTGAAGATGTCAATGTGTTGTACCGATTTACAGCATGGCTGTGATATTTGCACTTTACGGCCAACATATCTGATTTCTGCAGCATCTGAAGCCCAGGTTAACTTTCCTAAAAATCCACACTGTGTGTCAAATTGTTTGTTACTGACTTGTTGCACACCATGATATGAGTTTTTTTGTTGTTTTGATGTGTGGCTAAAATAAATCTACAAAAAATAAAATGTCATACTTGGCTTCAGGATCATACTCTGACCACAGCCGTACAAACTCATCAAGATGATGGGGACCCAGGATTGACCAATCACGTGTTAGATAGTCAAAGTTGTCCATGATGACAGCCACAAACAAGTTGATGATCTGAAGAAAGTGAAACAAAAACATTCTGCTTTTAGGTTGTTAACTCTTTGAGTCCCAGGGGGTTTAGCATCACAGGCCCAGGGTGGTTAATAAAGTCATAAAAATCGGCGCATCATGCATTCATTGGGCTTCTAGGTAGGAAGCCATGAACGTATGATGCGTTCCTTGGGACTCAAAGAGTTAAATATGTCACTAATTAAATCTGTAAGTGAATAACCATCACCAACATCATCATTATTTTATGCTGTTAAACTGGGCTCTGTCCTGTCTAATCCTCTCAATATCCAGTCCAATGTTGAATAAACAACAACAAACAACAACAGTCCAGTCACCTTGGCTTCTCTCAGCAACATTACTTTCAGGGTTTTTTCTTGAACACCCTTATGTTCTCCATCAATCTACTTCCCTTCTCAGTACCTGCTTAATGATTCTCTGTCTATTTCTTTTCTTGATGTGCCTAATATACTGCTGTTTCTTTTTTTTATTAGTTCATCCTGTTATTCGAATCTTCTGTAGAATTTCAGCTGAAAAGTCCTGGTTTGCTTCTGTCTGAATGTTTATAACATTAGACACAAAGGATGGCATGATCATAAGAGTCAAACCTCAAATGTAAAACCTTCTTGGACAAGAGTGTAAAATGTGGTGGCAAAAATTAAAGAAAAACTGCTTTGGCAGTTGGAAAAGAAAAAGAGCAGACAGAATAGGTGTCTGCACACAACAGATTCAAATGAGAAAAACTAAAATTTTTACAGTGGAAATCAATAAGCAATATTTGTGGATTTAACTGGCACAGAAACACAGCAATATGTAGTGACCATTTGTCATGAAGCTGAAACTGCAGTTAACTGATTAAAAGTGTCAATGATTCTGGTATATGTACACATGAATAGTGAAGAATGGGGAGTGAGAAGTAACACAAACAGTGAAGAATGGGGAGTGAGAAGCAATACAAACAGTGGAGAATAGGGAGTGAGAAGCAACACAGTGTAAAATGGGGAGTGAGAAGCAACACAAACAGTAGAAAATGGGGAGTGAGAAGTAAGACCAACAGTGTACAATGGGGAGTGAGAAGTATCACAAACAATAAAGAATGGGGAGTGAGAAGTTACACAAACAGTGTAGAATAGGAAGTGAGAAGTAACACAAACAGTGAAGTATGGGGAGTGAGAAGTATCACAAACAGTGGAAAATGGGGAGCGAGAAGTAACACAAACAGTGAAAAATGGGGAGTGAGAAGTAACACAAACAGTGTAAAATGAGGAGTGAGAAGTTACACAAACAGTGAAGAATGGGGAGTGAGAAGCAACAAAAGCAGAGGAGAATGGGGAGTGATTAGCAACAAAAACAGAGGAGAATGGGAAGTGAAAAGTAACACAAAGCGTGGAAAATGGGGAATGAGAAGTAACATAAACAGTGGAGAATAGGCAGTAAGAAGCAACACAAACAGTGTAGAACAGGGAGTAAGAAGCAACACAAACAGTGGAGAATAGGCAGTAAGAAGCAACACAAACAGTGTAGAATAGGGAGTAAGAAGCAACACAAACAGAGGAGAATAGGGAGTGAGAAGCAACACAAAGCGTGGAAAATGGGGAATGAGAAGTAACACAAACAGAGGAGAATGGGAAGTGAGAAACAACACAGTGGAGAATGGGGATTGAGAAACAACACAAACAGTTGATAATGAGGAGTGAGAAACAACAAAGTGGAGAATGGGGATTGAGAAACAACACAAACAGTTGAGAATGAGGAGTGAGAAACAACACAGTGGAGAATGGTTAGTGAGAAGCACCACAAACAGTGGAGAATGGGGAGTGAGAAACAACACAAACAGTGGAGAATGGGGAGTGAGAAACAACACAAACAGTGGAGAATGGGGAGTGAGAAACAACACAAACAGTGGAGAATGGGGAGTGAGAAACAACACAAACAGTGGAGAATGGGGACTGAGCAGCAACACAAACAGTGGAGAATGGGGAGTGAGAAACAACACAAACAGTGGAGAATGGGGACTGAGAAGCAACACAAACAGTGGAGAATGGGTAGTGAGAAACAACACAAACAGTGGAGAATGGGGACTGAGAAGCAACACAAACAGTGGAGAATGGGGAGTGAGAAACAACACAAACAGTGGAGAATGGGGATTGAGAAGCAACACAAACAGTGGAGAATGGGGAGTGAGAAGCAACAATGTAATTCATAATATTTTTTAATCACCAGTAATTACTGGCAGTGTAAAGGCTAATAGACTGCAATGGTTGGAGCAAATAAGAAGAGAACAGCAAATAACAGACAAAAACGGCATTTGCAAAAGAGATTGACAGAGTTGCTGAACTATGATAGTATTTTCAATGTTTTTTCAATAACAGAAGGCTGGAGTACTTATGGTGTGTGACAAAATTATCATTTTCAAACCAAACTGTGCTTCTGCTGCCTTAGTAGCTGTTTTCTTAAACTTTATATTTGTTAGGATCTTATTAACCTTATAGAGAGAGAGAGTGGTGGGCAAAAACTGTGTATACAACAGAGTTATATGGGGTAGATCATGAGACGGACCAAGAAGATAGTAGAGAGATAATATAAAGGCTGACCCCCCAAACACTTGGAGTCATCGGATGGAGAGAGACGGCCAACCACACAGATGAATGGAGGCTGGTGATATCTGCAGCAAATGAACCTCAAGGGCTCAGAATGCCAAGAAGAAGGGAAGAAGAGGAGTCAATGATCCTCCAGCATTTGTGAATATCTTTATCCCTGATCAGATCACTGGGCATGGAAGAGAATAATGCCTTTCCAGGAGTATTCCCAAGTACGGAAGTGGGTGCACATGTCCTCCTCTAAGGATTATTCCACTGTGCAAGGGCACTATATGTATCTTAATTATTTAATCAGACATGGAATTCCCATTTACAGGATTGTTCAGCATTGTTTTCAAGAAGATGGTGGAGATTTAACATACAGGCAAACCTACAAACACTTGGAATCATCAACTGGAAAGGTAAGGCCAGTCATAGAAATGAATGGTGGGTGATATCTGCAACAAAGAACCGCTCAGGTTTGGAAAAAGGAAGAAGAATAAGCACTATTTTTTTTTTCAACAATAAACGTGATTCACTTTTTTGTGTGTGGAAGTGTTATCATTATAACACCAATACAATAAAGATAATACAGTTATACTTTTCACATCCAGGTCAAAGTTGATTGTTTTGTCATTTTTAATTCATACGTGCGGCGTCCGTGGCTAAGGGGTTGCGAGTCCAACTTGTAATCCAACGTATCGTGATCGAAACCCACTGCGGGCTGCATGGATTTTTATCGTGGTATGGGACGTCGCAGGTCAACCCAGCCTCAAATGGGTACCAGGATGGCTGTCCTGGGGAAGCAGAGACGGCGGTGTAATGCTGAAAACATTACCCACCGAGTGCCGACTGGTCTGTAAAAATATGGGTGCTCTTCCCATATGCCCGATGCGCCTAAAGGCGTGAAAAGGGATCTTTACTTTACTTTACTAATTAATACATAATATTTAAAAACTAGAAAATCTAATTCTGTACTGTATTTATTTAAATAGGATACTAACCAGAAAAGAGCAAAGGAAATAGAAGGATATGAAGTAAATGTAAGCAAAGTTACTGCCACAGCCAGTTTGTTCTCCGCCAGTTGCATTGTTTTTGTCGGCTTCAGGGTCGCAGATAACAGTCTCTTTGTCCGAACACGCCAGCATGATCTCCTGCCAGGCTTCCCCTGTAGCTGAACGGAAGAGGACCAGCACTGCATGTTGAAATGACTGGAAATTGTTGTTCTGGTGAATCTCTGTGCTAAAGTCCATTCTGATTCGCCCAAACATCTAAGATTGTTCAGAAAAAATGTAAATACAAAATAAGTATCAACGCAAGAAAGAACATATGTAACTTATCATATAATCTTCATAAGTTTATTGGATTGTTGTTGTTGTTATTGATCCAGCGGCGCATGAGCTTTCACCCTTTGGCTCAATGGCATGTAGTGGAGTTTACATGTTTTCACAAGCTGTTCTTTTCCTCCACACAACATGTTACACTTATCTGGTCTCAGAGGGAGTAGCATTCTTCTAGTGTCGCTGAGTTTTGGGCACTCAAAGAGATAATGGTCAACAGTTTCGTAGGGGTAGTTACTTAGCTGGCACTCTGTGGAGTGTTGAGGCTGTATTCTGTTTAGATGTCCACTGAGTGTAGTATGTGGTGTTCTGAGTTTGTAGATAGTGGCCTGGTCCCTTGGTTTTAAAGGGTTGATGCTGTCGTTAGGATCAGGGCTAGCAATATGTCTATAAACCTCTCTTCCAGTGTCTCCCATTGACTATCTGTTCAGCCAAGTCTCTTTATTTATAGCTCCTATGTTTTTGTTGTCTGTAGGGTTGTCGCGGTAGGTGGCTCTTCTTGTGTTGCTCCTTTCTTTGCTGTCATTACCTGGTGTGTTTGAGTGACCTGGAATCCACTGCATCACTATTCTGATGTTGTATGAGGTAATGAGCTGATGAGCATCCAAAATTATCTTGGCTACGTCAGTTCTGCAACATCCACTGCCCTCCAGATCTTGTAGAGCAGACATGGAATCAGTGAAGATGGCAATGTTTTTGGCTTTTGTAGGATAAACATCCATTACAGTCTTCAGATGGTATACTGCTGTTTCCAGTGCAATTATTTTGGCTTCATAAGTTAAGCAGAATTCAATGCATGCATCAAAAAGCTCTTCAACAGATCAATCAGGATAACCTATGTAGATTCTGTAATCTGCTTTAATGTTAACTTTGAATACAGATCCATCAGTATAAACATGCATCCATTCTTAGGGGTAGGAATGAATGGTCTTTTGCGATGAGTTCATAAGGATGATTTGGTTACAGTATTTGGTTTCTTGTCTATCAATTTCATTTAGACTTCTGAAACTCTAAAGCGAGCATGTGGTGGTTGGTTCCTTGAAACATTCTATTTGCCTTGACGTCTTTCTGGGAGGAGTTATCTGTCCTGTATTTCATGTACACAGTGTAAAACCGATTTGTACTTTATTGGATAAACAAATTCCGAAACATCTAAAACTGATGATGAAAGAAAAGATAAGTACTGAAAATTATCAATATAAGAACACACACCCAAATGTAATTAATCACAAAATCTTTATGAGCTTACTCGAAAAAGAATTGCAATACAGTGATAAGCAATAACATAAGCCAACATTCCTGTATAGTAATGCTTTTTCTGATTTTTAGCATGTACACATTCACAATATGTATAGACAATGTTTTTGTATGTATTTATGGAAAGATAAAAGTACTTAGGTGCAAACTTTAACTGCTCCAACATGCTGAGAGAAGAAATGCAATCTACAATACAGTCTGGAAAAAAAAAGTATACTATTCCCTTCAACATCTGCTACGTGGTCTCGAGGCATGGTGCCAGAGGTTCTGGGTTCAATTCTTGGTAAGGGCTGGGATTTTTTAACGGGGACTTGGACTTATAGTAATTCCCTGTGGTTTCTGGGTAGTGAGATCGGACGCCCGTATGCATTGTTACGCACATAAAAAATCCCTTCTCTTGGCAGTTGGAAATCGAAAAGAGTAGAAGGTGAGTTAGAAGAAAAATGTAGCACTTATTGGTTACTACCCGCGTGTCATTATGTTGATCCGTTGTTCAAAACTCTAACTTACTGAGCATAACCTTACCAATGAAAACCTGTAATAAAAGTTTTTTTTTTTTTTTTTGCATTTGGCAATCCAGCAATGCTTCCATTAAAGGCTCTCTCACCATGATGCATCGCCTGCCACTATGTAAAAACAAAATACATAACACCCTGCTGTTTTCTCAATGGTCAGAAACAGAATCTATAAAAATCATGAGATAATAAGCATGTGCTCTATTATCAACTGGTCAGTACTTATGACAGAACTATGACATGATCCTGCCACGTTGCAGCATGAATACGTTTCAAATTAATGTTTCTATCTTATAATAAAGTTAGTTGCAAATCCTTTACAGGACGTTGCAGAACCAACCCCAGCATTTTTGGCTGTTGTGGTTTTTTAAAACTCTTTGAGTCCCAAGGAACGCATCATACGTTTATAGGTTCCTACCTAGAAGCCCAATGAACGCATGATGCACTGATTTTATTACTTTCTTTACTATCCCCTGGACCTGTGATGCTAAACCCCCTGATACTCAAAGAGTTAAGGCAAATTTACCTCCAGTAGTCTTTTATATAATACTGAATCCACAAATTAGTAAATAAATTAGTTTTAATTTACTATGTTTCTTAAATAATATAACCTATGGTATTTTTCATCATAAAGAAAAGCAACAGTTGAAAAAATGTTTTTTTTTGTTTTTTTTAAATTGTTAATAAGTACACCATGAAAACTACTAGAGGGAAATCAAATGAACAGTAGATACTCGCCTGCATTCCAATAACTGCATATATGAAAAACAGCATCACTATCAGCAACGCTACATATGGAAGAGCCTGCCCAATGGAAATAAAATATGTAAATTTAAAAACATGGTTCAGCATAAAGAAATCACATGAGTTGATTTAGATAATTATAATCATTTAGAAATATTAAAAAAAACAAAACTTTCGTCTCTTCTCAACAGAAGGTGGCTGCAATGTAGCTGCTGCTGATTATAGGAATATGACCTGATGAGATTTCAGTTGTTTCCGCCGTGGTTAGGTTCCAGTTTTTCCCCCATAGGTAAGGCTCCAGTTTTTCCCCCCGGGGTGAGGCCCCAGTTTTTCCCCCCGGGGTGAGGCCCAAGTTTTTTTTTTCCCGTGGTGTGTTTCTCATACCATCATCTTAAGGTCACCAGAATGGTCTTTTTTTTCCAAACTTCCTTCCATCCAGGGGAATTGAACCCTGGTGAATATCAAGGATTGCATTGTGAAACCATTTCACTAACTTCTCAACCCCAGAGCCATGCTAGATAATAAATACTAGTTGCTAAATCATGAATGCAGCACACACCAAAGCTAGTTATTGTGTATATCAAAGTTTCATCTTATACATTATTTCTGAAAGCATTTGAAAATTGTAATTTCTATATATTTACAACTGCAGCATCTTATCTTCTCTGTGAAAATAGCCACTGACCCTCTTTGACAACTGAGAGACTTATCTTTCACCTCATTTGATGGAAAAAATCAGATTTTGTTTTTAAAATAATGGTATTTGGGGTGGTGAGCAGGGGTGGATGGATGGGTTTAAATAAATAATCAATGAAATCTTATTCCTATAATCTATTTTGTATTGATGAATTTTCCTCAGAAACTCTGCATGGCAAACAAAGAGTATGCTAATGTAAGAGCAAACCTTTTTCTATTTATATTCTCTTTATGTTTCTTTTGACACACAAGGCATTCAATAGTGATCTACATAACTGCTGCTTTTCTCTCATCAGTATCCCATGTCACACTTTACATTCCTTCGGTTCCATTTTAATTTTCCTTTTACAGATTTCCCTATTACTTGTTTCCATTCTGAAATCCTTGCACCTCAATTCCACCAATTCATTGAGGTATTCTTAGTCGTCCATGTCCATGCTGATAGATACATTAATTACTATGATTATATAAAAACAGACAGTACATATGAGTGCCACTGTAATTTGGTGGCTGGATGTTTGCTTGCCTGTTCAACCGTCTTGGGTTTGAATCTGCATTATGACAGGATTTTTATTTCTCCAAAACTGATCTTCATTCCCTCGCTGACCCAGTCTAAAATATTAGGAAATGCCCTGGGAAGTTAAGATGGCCTTCATAATCTCGATCACATCACCTACCCAGTGCCATATGGTCAATAAAATACTAGTCTTGAACTATATTTCAGTTGCATCACTGGCCTATAAAAGGGTCCTGTTACACTTATGACAAATGTTTTTTTGCAGGGGTACAGATTTTAAGAAAATCTTAAAAGAAAAATAGTGGAAATTATCTGGCTTCCAGTCTCTTTCAGGCTTAGTCAACTCCAGGGCTGCACTGGTCTGAAAATTGTCTGTCACTTGTGGGGATCAAACCTTGACCACTGTCTGAGTCAGTAAGCATAGTAAATGCTGTTACCAAATGCAGTGACATCCATTCTTCACTGTTAATTACAGATAACTTAGTTTCATGTCTGTCAATGAATACTTGAAAATGTAAGATTTCTTCTGACATTGTTTTAACTGTTCTATGTTTCCAGCTGACACTGTTCCATTGTGCTATGGAGGCCCAGAAATTTCAGGTCAGAGTGATATCCTCATATGTCTCCTCATAACACATCCTGGACAGATTTTTTTGAAATATGTGCAGCCCATGTAGCATGATCCCCCTCTCTCTGCCTGCTTTGTTAACTCCGAAGGAAAGGTATCACTAACAGGTTTGGAACAGAGCATTCTGCAGAAATTGTCGGATCCAAATAGAAGCTCTCTGTCTGACCACCTGGCTGCAATCAACGATCAAGACAAAGTACTATCTAAGGCCTAGGGCCTAGTTTGCCCTGCCAAAACATTAGGTCTGTCTTTCTACTTCTTAGGATAAGGCTAGTATCCTCCCCAGTGCACTTTTCTAACCGAAGTCATAGGCTTAAGTAGTATGTAATGTTTGGTATATACCTCATAACGTCTAGCCTTAACAGAGAACAGGTAGCACTGTTATATGGTAACTGTTTTATCTGACAAAGAACTAATTTGTTCATCACACATGGAAAACACACACACGCACGCTCGCCAACCCCCGCGTGCGAAAACCCGCGCATGCACACAACGCACACACACACACACACGCACACACATGCAAAAGTATCCCAATAAAATAAATTTAAGTAAACTTTTTTTTTTCTGAAAAGAGTTTAGCGAGTTCTTTTTGTTTTATACACCAATCGTAGAAGAGGTCTGTTTCCTATTAATAAATAATAACCAGTCAATTGTTTCTCAATCACTTGGGCTGATTTGTATTCTACATACCTGAAATGATTTTATGAAAGTCCACAGCAATGTCCGAATTCCTTCTCCTCGACTAAGAAGTTTGATTAGCCTCATGACTCGGAACAGACGAAAAAAATTGATGCTGATGAAAGCTTTACCTGGCTAAAAATGGAGGCAGAAATTATATATATATGTTATTAAATTTACTGAAAAGACAACATTACATATGGATTTGATAAAGTAATATTTAGTAACATTAGTCACAAAAGCAACTGGTTGTAGCTCAAAATATAATACTATATAAACAGCTCATTATTGATGTAAATTTTTAACAAATTATTAGTAAAGGTGCAAATATTGTAATGTACAAGATACCATTTATTTTTAATAACGCAATTTTCATGCTATTTCTGATCTAATACATCTATTAATACTATGGGAAATACCTTTTTTTCTATAGATTAACACAATTTTACGTTAGTAAAATAATTTAGAACAACTTGCAAGTACTCACTACCAATGAATTTAAAACAGATTAAATCGCTAACTTGTAACCCATGCTAACTGACAGACTTCACTATAACTTTCTAATGCTATCATGACATTATCCACATACAAAAACAGACATAATCACAAGCACTCTGATTCTTTGGTCAGTACTCACTAGATCTACAACTATTTAGATCAGTAACACATATACAGGTAACAGATATACAGGTAACAGATATACAGGTAACAGATATACAGGTAACAGATATACAGGTAACAGATATACAGGTAACAGATATACAGGTAACAGATATACAGGTAACAGATATACAGGTAACAGATATACAGGTAACAGATATACAGGTAACAGATATACAGGTAACAGATATACAGGTAACAGATATACAGGTAACAAATATACAGGTAACAGATATACAGGTAACAGATATACAGGTAACAGATATACAGGTAACAGATATACAGACTGTTACTGGTACCAACAGAATTGGAGCACATTGTCCTAAGTGCTATGATGTCAGTTCATAACTTATAGATAAGCAACTTCAACAGTGTGATGGCTAACACTCTTGCCTGCATGCACGATAACTGTATGTTTGAATCCGGACCTCCTTATAATGTACTGCACGCAGAAAACTGCCTGCTGTACTTAACCCAGACAACTCTTATTCTGTACCGCACACAGACAATTTTTGTTCTGTACTGCACACAGACAACTCTTATTCTATACTGCACACAGACAATGCTTATTCTGTACCGCACCCAGACAACTCTTATTCTGTACTGCACACAGACAACTCTTATTCTGTACTGCACCCAGACAACTTTTATTCTGTACCGCACCCAGAAAGTTTATGTTCTGTACCGCATCCAGACAACTCTTATTCTGTACTGCACAGAGGCAACTCTTATTCTGTACCGCACCCAAACAATTACTGTTCTGTACTGCACACAGACAACTCTTTTTCTGTACCGCACACAGACAACTCTTATTCTGTACTGCACACAGACAACTCTTATTCTGTACTGCACACAGACAACGCTTATTCTGTACCGCACCCAGACAACTCTTATTCTGTACTGCACACAGACAACTCTTATTCTGTACTGCACACAGACAACGCTTATTCTGTACCGCACCCAGACAACTCTTATTCTGTACTGCACCCAGACAACTTTTATTCTGTACCGCACCCAGACAACTCTTATTCTGTACTGCACCCAGACAACTTTTATTCTGTACCGCACCCAGACAACTCTTATTCTGTACTGCACCCAGACAACTTTTATTCTGTACTGCACACAGACAACTTTTATTCTGTACTGCACCCAGACAACTTTTATTCTGTACCGCACCCAGACAACTCTCATTCTGTACTGCACACAGACAACGCTTATTCTGTACTGCACAGAGGCAACTCTTATTCTGTACCGCACCCAAACAATTACTGTTCTGTACTGCACACAGACAACTCTTCTTCTGTACTGCATACAGACAACTTTTATTCTGTACACACACAGATAACTCTCCTTCTGTACTGCATACAGACAACTTTTATTCTGTACCGCACACAGACAACTCTTCTTCTGTACTGCATACAGACAACTTTTATTCTGTAACGCACACATACACATTTTATTATTTACTGCACACAAAGAATTCTTATTCTTTCTGTACTGCACACTGATAACTCTTATTCTGTACTACATACAGACAACTCCTGTTATGCAGTGCATATCTCCACAGATGCAAAGTGGTAACGCTGAAATAGTTTGCGGCACTAGTTTCTGAGCTTCAAGTTTCTGAGGTCAAGTGGACTGAATTGTAAAAGTCTCAGACTTCTGGATGAATCTTAAACTCAGCAGCATAGCTCATAGAGGTATCGCCACATGACATGTTTAGACAGAGCTAACTAACATGAGCTGATAAGACACATAAACCACCCATACAGACAAACAGCATTATGGGAAACACAAAGAAGTACAGACATAAAAGTGAATACGATCCTATAAGATATAAATACCAAAATAAAGTAAATAATACTCTTCCACTCCTTTAGTTGTACTGGGTATATAGGGCTAGATCTATAGTGTATAAACCTACTGGCACTCAGTGCGTAATGTATCGACATCACATTGGCCACCTTTACTTCCCAGGACTTCACCTGGTATTTATTTTAGGCTGGAGAGTGAAGATCATTTTAAAGAAATTCTGCTCAATGTGTATTTGACCTACGACCTTCAGGCCCTTAGGCAAGCATCTAGCCTCTACACTCAAACAGCTTCATTGAAACAAAAATACAGACTAACATTTTTTATATCAAAACATGCAACGTGTTTGCTGACATGTTAATATGTTTCTGAGAAGAAAGAAATATTAGAAAAAAGAACAAAATAAAATGAAGAATACACAGATTTAAAAGCAGCTACTGACACAGGTGCAGGCATGTCACAGCAATATGAGCAAAAGATGGAGATACAGGTGAAGACCATGAGTCAAACAATGCAACACCAACATTAAAAAATACACTTGTATATATTTTTCATTAGGGACAACTATTTTATTGATTACAAAAACTGTATTGACTCCCATAGTGAAAGTTGTAGTGCATTTCCTGCTGTCTTTAGGAATATTATGTAGTGAGTCCCCATAATTTTTATGCTGTGACTCTCATATGACTGTCCAAAAGCCTAGAAAACTGTTTCTTCTGTCCTAAACTGTCTGCCATGGATAAAGAGCTTTGGTACTTAAGGATTATGAAGCACAATCAGTCTCGTTCAGCCACAGAGCCAGATATATGACTGATTAATAGGTTGTAAAGATATAATCAATGTAATTATTAAAGACATTTTTTTTAAAATCAAGAGAGCACATGTTTGCTAATTTTGTGCATTCAATTATTAGAGTTTTTTTAAAATGTTAAATGGGGTATGATAAAACTACATTTTAAATAAGGAAACTTAAAATAAAAGGTTGCAACAACAACACAGCTTACACATATTTACCATTTATGTTCTTTAAAAAAAAAAAAAAAAAAAAAAAATCTGTTCAAATAGTGTTTACTGTTAGAAACCAATTTATCATAATCTTGCAAGTGGAAGTGCATTAATCAACATTTACACTAAAGAAAAAGGAGAACAGTGAAATACTTGGGGTAAAGCGTGGAAAACAAAAATAGTACTAATAAGCATAATTATTTAGATCCAAAGCAAAAGAGTAATGTATGAGATGGTAAGAATAAATTTAAACAGTAAAAAAAAAAATTTGGGTATAATACACAGGGTGTGTTTAGACCATGCAGAGATAAAAAAAAAAAAAAAAGTGAACATTTGTTATCTTATAAATAAAATGTATTAATTTCCATTATGGTCCATGTGTGGCAAAGGAATTCCAAAATACCAGATACCTATTGGACATAGTGTGACGTAAAAAAAGTATCAGATAGAAAATAAGCCACGGCCAATCCAATCTTTAATTCTAAAAGCTTTCTCAGAGTCAAAATAGCAAGACTAGTGATTAATAACGGAAAATGTTTAAAATGTATAGAAAAACTTTATAGTGAGATTGCAAATTACAAATTTAAATTTAAAATTAAAATAATAATAATAATTTCTTTAAAAAGCAGCAAACCTACAGTAATAAAACTACTACATCTGCATTAATCCTTAAAAGGGTACTTGAAACATTGTATTATTCCCCCGTGTGGGTTCAGGGGCCCCATTGTGGGGAGAACAAGAATAGACCCACTGCCTCCCCAAAAGCATGTCGTAAGGGTTGACTAATTGGGGAGCTTCCTTTCAAGTGGGAGTGCATCTGCCGGAGAGGCAAGGAACCAACAGTCTGTATTCAAGAGAATGAGATCTGTAAAACTGATGCACACACAACACTCAGGTTCTGGAGCAGAACTGCAGTTCAGTAGTGGACGAGCAACCAGAACTTTCTGCCAGAGTTTACAGCTGGTAAACGTGAAAAAGAAAAAGAATTGTATTATTGTGTACAGTCAGTTGCAACCCTTCAGTCCAGGAAATTGGTTTTTCACAAGCTTCTAATTATTCACATTTACTAATAATTTATATAGGAAAGCGGGTAATTTACTTTCCCCCCACAAACATATCCCCAGATTCCATACAGAGAAAGTAACCAGACTTATTAAGGGAAAAAAAAAATATAAAACAAATTTAGTCAACAATAGAGAAGACTGAAAAAATTAAAAACAAAAATACTAATTAATAAACTAACAAGACAAATATGCCTGAGAGGATTCAAGTTAGCAGTCACAATAGCCCTGTTGTCCCAGCTTACAAAAATAGAAATGATTCTTAAAGCAAATCACTTGACCAATTTACCACAGAGGTACCAGTTTTCCAAATGAAATACATTAACACCCATGCATACATTTCTTGAAAAAAAAAAAAAAAAGAAAAAGCTGAAGTGGTAGCAGGAAATTTTTCAGAAATAACTTATTTAACCATCGGGTTTATAATTGGGATATTTGGTGTTAACTGAGTTCTCAGATAATATATTTGTTATTTTAAATTTATATATCATGTAATTATTTATACTGACCAAAATATAATTTGTATTGTTACACATATTGCTTTGATTTGGCTTGTCATTATGATAGAATTTATAATATGAAAAATTTGACAATCTC